ATATATAGAATATGGATTATAGGCTCATGGATAATAATTATTAGTATTTACTATTTATAATAATGTACTCACAGGAACCATGGCTTTTCCGCTTAGTCTGTAGAATGTAAATATAAATACTATCTATACGGGTGGGTTAAACCGAGAGTAGGCATTTGACACGATATCGAATTTTCATGGTAGTGTTATTGTTGGTCTTGGTTTGCCCATTTATCTATATAACTATTATTACTATTGTCTATTGCAGTATTACACTATTACCTATATTTATTATTTAACTATAATATCAATATCACAATATCAGTAATAATATCTTCTGTCGCGACGTGCGATTATTCTAGAATCGCGCACACATATACATCACACATGACGACTAAGAACGGAAGAGTACTGAGTAATACACATTTACATGTTTTACGACCGTGGTTCGTACACGCTGTTGCCTGTTATTGTTTTCGGTTTTTAAAAAGTTTTTTTAGTACACGTCTCGTTGTTGTGCAAATTGTGTTTATTTTATTATAAAAATAAAATAGAAATGAGTATTTCTACCGTTGGTGATTCGACCACAGAACAATATGATTCGACTGATGCCGATAATAATTCTAATTTAAAATGGCCACATTTACAAGTTTTTTAAACAACAAGGAAAGAATGAAGATAAAAATATTGAATTTTTGTGTTTATTATGTAAACCTAAACATAAGAAATTATCCACTTCATGTACATCATATTCAAACTTGAGAGCACATATTAAGGTAAACTTATACTTGGAATATATTTAATTATTTTTAGTAAATAAATTATTTTTTCTATCTACTGGCTATGGTTATATAGTTATTATTTATCCAATAAAAGTATACATTTGTCGATTATTATTTAAAAATTACTTATTATGACTGGMTTATGTCCTTATGAGCTATTATAACGAAAAGTTTTTTTTTATTATTTTTGTTAATGGCTAAATCTGACAAATTGCTAATAATACTTCTAATACTAAATTATACTTGTCATTGTTTGATTTTTTTAGAGTACACATAAATCTATGTTGGATAAGTTTAATGTTATGGTTAAAAAAAGATCACTTGATGAAGATAATCCAAGTACTTTAAAGCAATTAAATTTACACGAATTAAAAAAAAATTAAGACTAAGTTGTCTCAAGCTGCTTTTGATAGAGCAAACATGGAATTAATAATTAATACGGTATCTCCTTTTTCTTTCATCGAACATCCTGCATTCCTCAAATATTCTAATACTGTGGCACAAATGGTACCAGTATCTAGAAGAACATTGATGAGAAATATCAATTCAATTTTTGAAGAAATGAAAAATTCAATTATCAAAAAGTTTGATGATTTGGAATATATTTGTGTAACTGCAGATTGCTGGACTGCATTCAGAAGGTAAATGTTTTAGTCAAGGTTTTAGTAAATGTAAAAATATTTGCAGTTTGATTTAGCAGCTTTTTCACTATCAAGCTTTTAATTTAACATTTTTAAATAAAATAACTTTTTTAATAATACCTTCATGTCTTTTTTCAACTACTTAGGTACCTACCTACATATTATTATATATATTTTAAATTAATCACAATCATTTACTTATATACTTCTAACACTTGTAATTTATTTGATAGATCTTATATGGGCTTTACTGCCCACTGGATTGATCCAATTACCTTTGAGCGCAAGTCGAATGCAATTGCTTGTAGGCGTATAATTGGTCACCATACATATGATATTCTAGCTGATATGATTGAACTTGTGTTGAATGAATACAAAATAAACACTAAAGTAACTTATATGGTTACTGATAATGCATCAAACTTTGCTAAGGCATTCAGGTATAATCAATTGACAATTAAAAATATTTATTATTAAGAGAAGAGAATAACCATTTTTCTTATTTGGTATTTTAATTTTTTAACAAATAATGCACTTTTCAATAAACAAAATATGAGTACATTGATTGCAGATAAAATTAAAAATCATCTAGGTCGATATTTAATCACACCAAATGATACACGGTATTTAAAAAATTAAATGACTGACTTATGACTATCAATTATCATAATATACATCTATATAATATGATATAACTAATATCTTTATTTTGAATGTGCTTATTAGTTATTATTATTATTTTTATAGTTGGAATGCTTTATATGATTCTTTGAGTTTTATTGTAAGCCACTTTGATGAAGTAGAGAATATTTGTATTGATATTCAGTTGCCTTGCTTAAGTAAACCACAAGAAACAGATTTTTTGGTCGAATATTGCAAAGTAAATTTTAATTATAATTTAAATGTTTATAATATTTTTAACGCCTATAATAGTAATAATTTAACTAACAGATATTGGCGTTATGCTTTTATAAATAAACTATTATATTTTTATCTTTAATTTTTGTAGGTTATGAAACCTATTGCAAAAGCTTAAGATATACTGCAAGGAGAAAAATATATTTCTATTGGTTATCTTCTCCCTACATTAACAGCTATAAAAAAGTCATTAAATCAACTTTTGTTACACGGAAACCTAAAATATTGTAAGCCATTAGTTGAAGTGCTGATCAGTGGATTCAAAAATAGGTGATTAATAATTTTGGAATATTAAGAAACTAAAAAATTTTAAATGCAATTTATAAAATATTTCAATTTTCATTTATAGGTTTGATACAAATTTTGAATCTTTAGATATGAAATTAGCTGCAATTTTAGAGCCAAAGTTTAAGTGGAATTGAGCTGAATTAGAAACTGTTGATGAGTTATAAGATTGTTTAAGAGCAAAATTGTCAGAGCTTATCGTACAAAACACTGACTGTATTTTAAATGATGATACCAATGAAATCACATATGATGATTTTTTACATTTTGATACTATAGAAAATCCAGAAACAGATAAAGTTAAAAATCTATTTAATGATTATTCAAACTCTTCTCCTAAACTTTYATTAACTGTATTTTCTAAAGAAATACAAAAATTGTATATTCGATATAATACTAGTATTCCCTCTAGTGCTCACGCGGAGAGACTTTTTAGCGCTGGAGGGCAATTATTTGATGAAAGGCGTGGGTCTATGTCTGATAACAACTTTGAAATGACACTTTTGTTAAAATTTAATGAATATTTTAAATAAAACATAAAATATCTGATTATACTATGACTGTTATGTATTGTTATTTTATATTTATATTTTATGTTGTCATATTGTTATATATATTTTTTTATTTTGTTTCATCATTTATGTTTTAATAAGTAATAACTTAAAATTCCAAGAACTTGAAATTATTACTTACCTAATTAGAACATGTGATCAAATTACTAGGTGATTAATTCAATTTTTCAGTTTTTATCAATAATATAAGTTAGATATAACTTATTATTTACATTTGAACACAAACTTTTTTAATCTAAAAAAAAATCTAACTTCTAACTTCTAATCTAACTTAAGTTACTATTTTCACCAAACTAACTTCTAACTAACTAAGTTAAAAATTTGGACAGTTTCAGAAACTAACTTATGTTCTAACTTAGTTAGTTTTTTTRCTAAAGWAACTTAACTTCAACTAGTTAAAAAAAATGACTAACTTGCCCAGCTTTGCAAACAGGTTTTTAATTTTATCTAAATGAGGAATAGGGATAATGGTTGTTGCTTGTTAACTAAAATGTATATATTTTAATGTTAATAAAATAAATTAAATGTTCATGTATATATTGTAGTAATCATACAAATTCAATACAAGGGGTAAATTATGAAGTATAGGTAAGGTAAATTATGTTAGTGTTGGTTTTTTTGTCAGTCAAGCAATTTTATACCAAGTATCTAGAAATGATTAAAATACACAGTTTGGTGAAGTTTGGTTATTTTATATTCATAAACATTGATGTAAATAGTAATTAATTATTATTACAAAATAGTAATTAACTCATGTTTCAACAAAGGGTAGGTTAGGCTTTTCTTTTTCTTATTTTTG